GCTGAGGTTCATCCACAGGTCCTGAGGGAGCTGGCAGACGAAGTTGCTAGGCCACTCTCCATGGTTTTGGAAAGTGGTGGCAGTCAGGTGAAGTCCTCGCTGACCGGGAAAAGGGCAATCCAAACCAACAGACCAGCGGGACTGGCCCCAACACTGAGCCCTGGGTGACACCACTGGTGACCGGCCATCAGGTGGATGTCAGTGCGGTCACCACCACACCCTGGGAGCCGCCATCCCGTCTCGCCAGGCAGGGACAGCGGAATGCCCTGCGCAGAGCACGGAGCACCTCCCTGAAGAGAGAGGGCCGCTGTGCTGAGACAGCTATTGGTGAGGGTTTGACTTGCCAATGCTCAAAAGACTGTCTGTCCCACGCCAGCAAGTCATCCTCCCTGCAAGTGGCCCCCTCTGATGGCCTGCTGTTCCTGGGAGTTCTTCTTTGAGCTGTGTCTCGTTGGAAAAAGTCCTTCTTCCTTCAAGTGCAGCTGCAGGTGGTAAGGGCACATCCGAGACTGCGCCCAGCAGCTCAGTCTGTAGAGGTGGAGGTGGATGTGCCTGATGAATAGTCCCAGGGCTCTGCCCATGCCTCAGATGGGAAGGACACAGAGCTAGTTGCTCCCCCAGTACTCCAGCTTTGGGCTGTGTTTTCGTGCCCTTGGCACCGCTCTAAGAGGCTGGAGTTGTCCCAGAGACTCTTGTCCTCTGACCAGGCCCCCTCCTCGGTCTGTGGCAGGGGCAGGACTGTCTCCGTTGCTGCCCCTGCCCACTGCCCACTGCGAGCTTCCAGCTGGCTGGGCGAGGGGCTGGCGGGGCAGCAGGGGCTGTGCAGGGCAGCTGCCTGGCTCTCTGCCCCTGCTGCTGGGGCTGTTGCCAGCATGGCTGCGTCCAGGCCTTGAGCTGGGTGCTGCTGTTCTCCCCGCTGCTGGCCCCGTCGCCAGATCACAGCTGCAATCCTGCTCAGGGTGGCACGTGCCATGCGCTGCAGCGTGTCCAGCATGGCGGGGCAGCAGCCTCTGGGGCGCTGCAGGGCAGTAGCTGTTGGCTGGTGGTGCCTGGGACCTGCCGGGGCAGGAGATGTGCTGTGCAGGTCCCCGACTGCCTCTTCTGCCGCCCTTGCGCAGATGATGCAGGGACATTTGGGCCCTTCCTGGCCAGCAGGCTGAGGCTCCAGCAGGACCGGTATGAGGGAGGGTTTGACCCAGATGGTGTAGATTTTGATGACTTCCCCTTTCTTCTCTGCCAGCTCCTTGTTGTGGCTGTCTTCTTGCTGGGACAGTGGTTGGTGTGTGTTTTCTTCCCCGCGGGACTCTCTGGAGACCTCTGGGAGCCCTGCCCACTGCCCACTGAGAGCTGACAGCTGGCTTGGTGAGGGGCTGTGGGGGCAGGCGTCCGGGCTCGGGGCCTGTGGCCTGATGTAAGGGCTGGTGAGGCATGGGCGAACTGGGGCACAGGCTGTCCGTGTGGGCGCTTGAAGGTCCCAGGGCTCTGACCATGCCTCACGTGGCATGGGCACGGGGAGCCTCTTTTCTCTACTCCTCCAGCTTTGGTCTCCGCTGCATTCTTCTTGGGGCAGCTCTAGGAGGCTGCAGATGTCTGAGAGCTCCTCAGACCAGGCCCCATCCTCAGTCGGTGCCACTGGGAGGACGGCCTTGGCTGCTGTCCCTGCCCACTGCCCACTGAGAGCTTCCAGGTCACTTGGCAAGGGGCTGAGGGTGCAGCGGTCTGGAAACTCGTCCGGAGTGGGGGTCTTTGCCCTGGCGTAAGAGCTTGTGATAGTGACACCTGGGCCATGGACTGTGGTTGTGTCTGCTTGAGAGTTCCTGGGCTCTGCCCATGCCTGGCACGGGAGGGATGCTGAGCTACATTCTTGCCCACTACTCCAGCTTTCCTCTGTGCTTTCATCCCCCGTTGACAGCTCTAAGAGGCTGGAAATATGCCAGAGACTCTCGTCCTCGGACAAGGCCTCATCCTCGATCTCTGCCGCTGGCAGCACTGCCCCTGCTGCTGCCCCAGCCCACTGCCCACTGAGGGCTTCTGGATGGCTTGGGAAGGGGCTGGGGGGACAGCAGGGGCTTTGCAGGACAGAGTCCTGCCTCTCTGACCCTGCTGCTGTGGATGTTCCTGCTGTCACTACCTCCATACCTGGTTTTACCTCCCTCTGTGGCTCCGGCTTCTGGTCACGTCGCCAGATCCCAACCGCAAGCCTGCGCCAGGTGGCGCGTGCCACGCGCTGCAGTGTGTCCAGCACAGCGCGGCCGCAGCCTCTGGGGCTGTGTGGGGCAGCTGCCTGGCTCTCTGCCCCTGCCGCTCTTACCTGCTCAGCCATTGCAGCAGAAGAGGTGCTGTTCTCCTCTTCCTGCGCTGCTGCCTGCGTCTGCCAGTTGTCCACCTGTGGCGAGGAGGAGGAGGAGAAGGCGGTGTGAGATGGAGGCGGTTGCCATGGCACGTCAGGCCTCTCCGTGCCTGCAAGCCCAGCCCTGGTACCAAGGCAGCTCTCTACTACCCCATCCTTCACCTTGTGCTTCCTCTGACAGCTCGACAGCCACTTGCGTGGCTGCAAGTTGGTGAACTTCTTCCTTTTCCACATCTTCCACGTCGGCTACTTCCTCTGCCGCTGAGGTCCCTGAGAGAGATGCTGTCTCTTGAGACAGATGCTCTCCTGGGAGAAAGAGGGTACTGCAGGGCTCTGCCCTCCTTAAATAGCCTCCCGGGCAGGGCGGGGCCCCGCACTGTCACAATGGCCTGTGTGCCCAAGGAGGCCCTGCATCACAAAGGGCCCCGGCAATGCACTGCTGTCACAATGGGCCATTTCCCGGCACCCCTAGGACAGCAGTGCAGGGGGCACACAACTGGCTGCAGCTGGCTGGAACTAGTTGGAACCGGCTGTGCCCGGCACAAGGCTCCCCCGCTTTCCCATCACAGACGCTCCAGCCGGCCCCAGCCAACAGCTCCCGCACGGCCTCGGTGCCCACGGCCTCCCCAGAGTTCAGCCCTGTCTGCATCCAGCAGCTGGCGGTGCCACCACCCTGGGCAGCCAGCCGTGGCCATGGCATGTCCCAGGGTCAGAGAGACAAGTTACTTGTGGGTAGAATTGCCTTGTTAAGAGTAAGAAAGGGCAAAAGTTAAGAAAGAAGAGAAGAGAAGAAAAGCCAAAAGGAGGGCCAAGAACCTCAGGGAAAGGGCATCTCTTTAGTTTGTTGGGAGAAGAACTCCAATGAGCTTTATCATGACTTTCAAAGCAGCAGGCACCCGGCCCTCTCCTCTGCGTTCCTCCTCGCCCTCTCTCCAGCACGCTGCCTCCCATCTGATGACGACGTCTGCATGCAACAGGCAACGGGGGCTTGCACAGCAGCTTCAGAGCAGGCAGATGGCCCAACAGCCTGCGGCCCTTCCAGTCAGCCCTCTCCGGCACTGCCGGCCGGGATCCCCCCACTCACAGGCCCAGCCCTGCATGGCCACACTGCCCCAGCCCGCAGCAGGACTTCCCCCTCCCGTCCACGCATCCCTCCCTCCGCCCCAGGCAGCGCCCTTCTCCTTCGGCCCACCCAACACACGCTGGCCCCAGCAACCAAAAGGCTTGGGTCTGCAGGAGGTTTTTTCCCCCAAAATTAAAGACTAGATCGTGACAAAAATAACAAGTCCTTATGATTGGTCAAACCAAGACTTTTATTTTCACCTGTTAAGAAAACCCTTTGCTTACCAGCAGAGTCCAACACAGATGGGCAGACAGACTCAAATACAATTAAATACAGGAAAAACTGAACTATATACAGCAAGACAGACATCTACATATTATAAAGAGTTTTTTCCTGTATCTATGAGTTCTTGCCAATGCAAAACATTACTGAAACTCAAGTATATTCAGATTTTTTTCTTTTTTCCCCTTAAAAAGAAAGGATGTAATGAATTTCCTATTTTTTTCCATTTACTGAGGCATAATATTCATTTTGAGATGCACAAAATTTGTGGCACTTCACAGGGTACACAAAAGCTAAAAATGTTCTGTCTTGTTATTTTATAGTTTATGATATCTAAATTTCAATTAAATCTATTTATGGAGACACTAACTGTAAAGTGTTATTTACATGGAGGGAGTTGTGCAAAGTCATTTAGGCTATGGCTAGTACACTGTGAAAGATGCATGGTTAAGGAACTCACCCTCATCCCCAGAAGTAATCCCTTAAATCCTCTTTTGATCGTTTTTCTCATGGAGCAGTCACCCAAGGAAAACTGGCCATAATTTAGTATTATTTGTTTCTTAAGCTACTTGGAGAAAGCTGTTCCTGTGACCCTTAAGGGTCTTGACTGTTTTAATGTTGGATTTTTTCTTTTCACGCAGTTAATGCTTTAAGCATTGACTATCTGCTTTTTGGGACACAAATGCAGCCGTCACTGTCACCACACTACCCTAAGACAGCCGTAGTCCTTGCCTGTAGTTTACATTACCAGTGGGAGCACACAGGAACTGAATGTGTGTAACTTTGTAGGAGTCACCGTACTGCCACAATGCAGAAACTGCATATTCCTGCTAACAGTGCTGAACCAAAGCTATTCCAAACCAGGGTGGGGAAGGTACTGCATTTCTTCAGACAGCCTTTACAGAACAAAACTCTGATTACTATATCCAGAAACATCCATAAACATCCTCATTAAAAAAAAAAAAAGAAAGAAATCAACTTTACTTTGGGTTGCAAACTTCAAGAAAGATCTTGAAACAGCTAATTACAAGAGCTGCTGTAATTAAAGACTTCCTACAGATCCCTAGGACAGGTTAGCAAAGACACATCCTACAGTTGTGCTGCACCAGGGCACAGAATGGTTCTTATAATGGTTTCCATAATCAACCAACTGCCAAAAGGTGTCCAAGGTTAATTCTGGACTTTTTCACAGATATGCCTACTGCAAATGTGGATCATAAAACACTGATTTTAATCATCTTGTCTACATAAACCTGTTTGTATCGGCTCATCTGCATCAGCTTGCACATTTAGTAACAGACTTGAAGCATTTAGAACTGAGTTCTGGGGTGAAAAAAAAGTGACTTGATAACAGTACATAAACTGGTGTATTCCTGCCTTCTGAAATAGAGGAATTCTCTCTCCTAGGACATATACCCGCCTTCTCTTCTTTTTTAAAAATACACACTTAAAGAAAGCTGGGCAACCCTCAGGGCAAAGAGTGATTAAACTTGTCTCTCAAAAAGCTGGCAAGTTAACATTGCTACCAAACACCTTCCAAAGCCTCCGCTTCCTAAATCCACGGCAGTACGGTTATTTAATTTTCAATCCTATGCACCAGGCTACAACCAGTCAGGTATCAGTGTAACAACCAGAGAGAACAGCAAAGCAAACACACTCAAAGCATTAAACAGGGAACAGCTGACACAGTAAGAAGATCTGTAGGGAGTTTGGTATTCACCTGACAAGAGGACAGCATACAGTTTGCTTCTTATTCATCACTAGGAAGCCTAGAGAAGTCTATATTCTCATTAGTTATTAGGAGAGAGTGTTACAGCACAGCAGTAAACCCAAGAGACCACCTCATCATGTTAGAAAATAAATTCAGTGTTTGGATTCAAATACAGGAATTCTTGGCAGTTAAAACAATCAAAGAAGTATTTTCACATTGTACATGTTGCAACGTTTCTACGTATTTTAGATCTCATGGAGTTCATAAAAACATCTACATGTTCAAGCCTTCTGCTCAAAACACCTGACTGCTGGTCAACAGCAGGTTATTTTATTGCATAACCTTCATTGTCAATTTAAGCCTTGTTTATGAAAACACAAGCCATCACTACAGAACTTACTCTACTTGGGCAAAGATGACATGCAGGAAAGTAAGAGTCGTGGACTTCTTATAGGACAAAAACAAAAGTGTAATTAAATGATAAATTGCTAATCTGTCTTCTGAAAAGGAAACTATTTCATATCTATATGTGATGGTGGGAATAATTTATAGAGTAAGAAAAAACAAAATATTCAGCCCCCCTCATTTTTTAGCATTAGAAAAAGTAGAAGAAAATTGATTAACTGCTTCCTTCCTGGTCTAGGCTGCTGGTCGAGTTTATAGACAGTCATTGATAAAACATTATAACAAGGAACATAAAAAGAAGCAGCTTGGACCATAAAAAAAAGTTGTCTAGATACATACAAGTCGTTCTTCAAAAAAAAACCAAAACAATTTTATTTGGATTTGTGCACAACCTGTTGCTCTTTAAATCTTCGAAGCACTGAAAACATGACATTTTCCCCCAAAATCCATTGAGACTGTCCTGAGAAGTAAAAGTACTCATATATAAATGGGATGATATTGTCTGTGAGTGAGTTTCTTCCTGCAGGTTGGGCAAGAGTTGGCATTCCTAAGGGAATCACGGAGGCACTGACTGCAGAAGACATGGCCACATTTTGTTGACACAATCAGTCGTCCACTTTGCACAATCTGGAAGAAAGGAAACCACAAGAGGCACTGGAAGTAAAGAATTCAACTTTGCTGGTCTCCTGCCACCAGGTAAACAGGACTTGGATATCTGGAATTGTCTTTTACTCTTAGAATAATACTGAAGATCTTTCAGTGCCATCCTGGCAAAAGTTTCTCCCTCTATCCATGCCACCAAGAAGTGACTTGGAGTGACAAGTTAGTATGAGCTTCAAAACAAGCTCTGTGCTTCAAGTCAGATCTCTGCAACATCCCAAACAGGCCAGCTGAGTTGTGCAGCTCCCCCTCTGCCCCATTCTCCCTCCCACAAGACAGAAAGGATGACAGCATGTGGACTCTTACCTCTGAGTAGACATCCATGCAAATGGGACAGCTAACAGTACCAGACGGCCTTGTGGCAGAGAACAGAACAAGAAAGAACATGCAGCCATTAATCTCACTGCATGTCGGGCGTTCCCGACACACAAAATATCCCGTCACCATCTGAGCACAGACCAGCCTTGACACATTTCTTTTGAAGATCCCCATGTATCTTTAGCTTCCTCAGTTTGTGGCATGTAATAAGGAGTTTGGGTCTCCTTGTTCTAAGGGAAAGGTTTTCACTGGGGGGAAGATGCAGTCAGTCACCCTGCTCTAGCTCTAGAAGGGACAGCAGTCTCTAGCACTGGGCACCATAGGTACGGCCATCAACAACATCAGTAACAGCTCTGTAACAAAAGCATCTACCTGTGCCTTGGAAACAAGTCATTCTAGAAAGGGAAGAGGCTGTCAGAAATTCAAATATCCCCTGTTCTAATTTAGCAACACACACATTCCAAGAACTTCTCCTTATAAAATGGAGGGCAGCAACACACGAACATCAGGAGATACCAAAAAACAAATTTCCACTTCCAAGAAGGAAAGACCCACTCGGTGGCTGTTACCCAGCTGTGCTTACAGACGTCCCTGTGCTGCCTTCAGCCTCCAGGACAGCTCTACTGCACACACACTTGCCAAAGGGATACAGCTCAGCTGCCTAAGGAACATGTCCTAGCCCAACTGCTAAATATTATTCTCTATTAGAAAGAGTTTCCTGCTGCTTTTCTTTTGAAACCAATCTCTATTTTAAACTTTCAGACCTCTACCTTAAACACTTGGCTTTATGTCACGGCTCATGCTAAATCACAGTTTGTAATTTATTAATCACAGAGGAATAGAAAGCATAGGATAGCTTAAATTCAAGCAGGGAACCCTACTAACACCTACCCCTTGTTTAA